AGTCTGATGAAGGCTAAGTCGGTAATTCTTGAGAAGTGGCAAGTTATTGGTTAATGCAATAACTATGGATATCAAGAGTATTTTTTTCTTTTTCTATTCTTTTTTTCTAAAGATAGGATTTTATGAGTCTCTCGGATTCGCCTCAACGAAACATATCATAGTTTCTAATAGAGCGACAACGAAACACTAAATAGAATCTCTTCGGCGAAAACAGTACTGAGAGGATCATATATAGGCAATGTCTCAGCCTCACAATCCCTCGGAGTATTGCTGTTTTCACGAGGCATACCTAACTTTACTAAAAGACTCGTTTCGTTTATATACTTTGAATTTAATTATACTTAGACTTAACCTAAGCGTTTAATTACTCTAAGGCGTTAATATCGCCTTGATAGACCGAAACTTACATCTGCAGATGTCCAATCCTTGGGGTAGGGCAATGATGGCTGGGTAACTTTATCCCTCGGAAACTGTGCATTATCCACTGGTGATACTCCTAAATCCACCGGTATTTGTGGAGCGCGCCACCACCATGTGCGCGTATTGGTCTGCGACTGCTGGGCGGACTCTTGTGCTCGCTCGAGGGGAGCCATAGGGGAGCCATGTCGATAACATCATACAACGATAAATAAATCCTCCGGAGTGGGTGGACGCCTGTCATTTGTGAAACACGGGAGTATTTCGTACCCCAACATACTGAGAGCGGGTGGGGGACCTGACAACCCCAGGTGTTGTTAAGACTAGTTTGGGACAATAATCGGTGGTCGTGTACGACCACCCGCTAACTTGATCATTAATGTGTACTTCTAAGGGAGGAGACCCACAATGCGGTTCCCACGGTGAATGAAAGTATCGGAATGATGGGAAAAATTGAGAGGTACGTCTATAATCAAAGTGAAATACAGAACTATCCAAACAGCACTAGGAAAGAAAGGGACCACCATGAATACCGCAGTGTCAGGGATGTGTTCGAAAGCCAATAGAATACGATGTATTTAGAGACCACGGGCTGTTGGTGTATGCCAATATGTGGCGTAACCTCATTGCCTCAAGCTCTTGTACGATCAGCGGTAGTGTAGATATGATTATCCTTGCTCGCGAAGAGTTCGACATCGAAGTAACCATAGATTTATCGTGAAAAATTCATCCATAATGAATTCAAAGCCCAAGGTCTGGTTCGTCGTGATCCATTGATACATGCCACGGTACTCGCTGGTGATACAGTGGACCAACTAGTATCACGACTGCAATTTGTTATGATACTGACTGGTCCAGTGTCGGCTTCCAATCGACACGGTGATGTACTATGGGTTGTAGGACTGGATACACGGGAGAAATGATCGCCAAATACCGTCAGACACAACCAGGTATATATCGCATGTCAACCTCGACTTCATCAATGATTGCCATAACCCTTAAATATCTGCTGTTGGGCGCCGTATCTTCCTGCATGTATTGTTCCGGGTGCTTGATCATGGATTTTAAAGGCTTGTGGTCCGATACCAAAAATACTAGTTTCACTGAACGTCTGCATATCGTGAGGTCTTTAAACATTGCGCATGCACCACCTGCTAACTTCCTATCAGTGGCTTCATAATTTCATTGTGCTTCATAGCCAGTGTGATACCTAGATCACGGGGTGAGTTCTCGGTAACACTGGTGTATTCGCTACAAATATTAGTGTCGGATAGGCTCACAGGTAGAACTGAAGGGTGCGTTGGGTATGGCACGCCTCCCTGGGGTGTGGTAAGTATCTTGCATTGATCGGCTGCTCGTTGTTCCTAAACAAGTGAGCCACTTTGTTGCGTATGCACATATGTAAGTGGCACACTCTCAGCAAGTGCAATATTCTACTATGCTGGTTCGTAAAGTGAACCGTTCTGCGCTAGTGTACCACTCAACTTTGTCTGTCAGTTGAGTGGACCAATATCCGCAAATATACCACTCTGCGGTGGATGTGAGACACGAACAGTATTTATTGATCCGAAGGGCTACTGGGAGTTTCCAGTGTCAAGATTGTAGCACTTGGGAGTAACAATCGACCTTGTGCTCAACACCATCGAAATGACTTCGGAGTTCAAGGCCAAACTACTCCAGAAATCCAAGCAGATCTTTTCCCTGGGCCTACGTAACCAGCGCAGGATTCAAATACAACTGTCGCAATCTTTTTTTGCGGCTGCCTACTGCTGCGGGGAGGATTCTCAATCTTGGGACAACGCCCATTTATCGCCGACATTCAGCAGTTGACTCCATGGATAAAGACCCGCCACATTTGGCTCTCGGGGGCCATGTTCAAAAGATAGAACAAACATGCCAACTGGTGTCCATTTTCCAGACGGGATCAATCTGGCTCCCGGAACACAGAGAAACACTGACCTCGGACTCCTCCAAGATGAATTCCGGGACGATACTGTTTTGGCAGCAGACCACGACAACTTTCGCAGGTCTCTGATGCCGTACAGAACAGAGGTGACGCATCGCAGTCCTCGAATTTAAGACTCTTGTTTTAGCGTTTGATTTTTCTTCTTCACAGAACGCAGAACGTAGGCACAATTCCCCTGATGTGGCTCACCGATAGCAGTACCACAGCCAGTCCAGGCTGATAAACGCGCAGCTGAGGTGTCTGGTCTGGTTCTGCCACCAGAACAGTGTCCTGCGGCCGGTATCTCTGGGATACCTATCAGGCAAACTCAACCTTGCCACGGAAGATTAGAGAGCCTCATCCAGTATCACTGGAGAGTCCAGTCAGAGACGGTGCTTTGTCTCTTCAGCAAATGGAAGATCTCTCCAAAACCCTCTGAGCGATCCTATCCCGAAAGTTACTACTTGAAGGAAAAGTCACCAGGACCAAGTAGCTTTTGTAAATCCCTTGTTTCACGACAACACAACACAAGTGGGACCAGTCCCTAGAATTACTGTTCCCCCACCTTCCGGAGACAATGTTAGGTCTTGTTTTGGAACAGCTCGACGGTCATCATAGTGCCAGTGTAGACCGAAACTCTCTGGTGGCCTCTCATAGTACGGAACAGCAAGGTCATAGAAATTCTGGAAGCTGGCACCGTCCACTACTCAGCACCGGTTGCAAAAGTGTTGGGCATTGCTGTATCTTCAACAAGAGTCTATGCCACAATTCTCTACAATCATTTCGGCAATGACCGAGTGCCAAGACTCCCACAACAATGATGTAATTGCCTCCGGCACGCAGCGTAACTATGCCTTTGCTCATTTGCATCACCGCCATGGTACCCAAACCAGATTATCTTAGGGCCTTTCTCTTTTACCGCTGCCGTCAAGGGGTGTCCCTCGACTAGGTGAAGAAGATCCGTGCGGTGACAAGCAATCTCTGTCGATCCAACGGTCTTATCATACTGAGATAACACCTCCGTCTGCCTGGCGCCACGCTATCCAGGGTTATGTACAACTATAGAGTAAGCAATACGGCACGCGCGATCTGGAACAATCCAAGATCATCGACCCTTAGATCCTCCAGCTCCTGCAAGCAGATTATTTCCATGATGGCGCGCACTACTTGTCACATACTGGCTAATAGGCGCATGTCGAGCTACCAATAAGACTCTGGGTTCAGACTCTTTCATCTTTGAGCAAGCCAGCCGCGTGCTGATTGTGAGCCCTCATTACATCGACCAGCTCATCTTCGACTTCCCCCACGCACACTTACTCGATGCTGTGGAAACCTGAAGTATCCCACCAAGTCTGGTCATGATTCTTAACGCCATGAACAACTTTGAGAGCATCACACTAGTGCGCAGACAGTTTGTGCGTGTCAGACCTTCTGCAGAGAGCTGACCCAAAGTTTACTCAGTCTGCATCGAACTGGCCTCGCTGTCGCCCTACCGCTCGGTAACGGACCCTAATGATGCCGACCACCGTTTCAATTTATTTTGAAAGGAGAGTTTTCGGTGTAAACGGCGTGGACTTCATAGAAATGATCGAAACAAATACTATTAGAGAAGGATTCTCACTCTGTCAATACTATTGTGGTGCTGGGAGTAGATTAGAGCAACAGCATCAAAGTTTGCGCTGTTATGTATGTTATAACTGTTGATATGACGCAACAGCACTGAATTATTTTATGCTGTGGCACTGTTCTTACTCTATTCGTCTTTGAATATACATTCAAGTTGTTGTGTATATTTAAGGACGAGGATAGTGTATACTGTCCCTCATCCTGTATTTCTTTCTTATTCTCACCCTTGGCCACCCTTCTCACCCTGTATTTCTTTTTGGTGCCGTTTTTATTCAGTTTGCAGTTTTACATATGCATCCCATCCCTGGAATTATGCATCCACACACAGTGAAGACACGACAACTGGGAACAGTTTATACATATCGATAGATTTACTTTGTGCTGCCTCCAACTCAAATCCGCGAACGAACACAGTCCTTGCATAAGGTTTCTCAATCCATACCGAACGTTCTGGATTTCCATATGATCACGCTGTCATATTTTCTTCTCCCCCACGACAGAGTCTTCGAGATGTACACTTATTAGGTAGGAGAGCTTAATAAAGCTATTATAGACAAATATATATATATATATATATATATATATATATATATATATATATATATATAGATATAAATATAGATAGATATATAGAAAGATAGATATATAGAAAGAGAAATATAGATAGACATAGATAGATGTATAGATAGATCAATAGATAGATAGATAGATATAGACAGACAGATAGATAGACAGACAGATCGATAAAGATATATATATATATATATGTATAAATATATATATAGATATATAGATATATAGATATATAGATATATAGATATATAGATATATATATATAGATGTATATATATATAGATATATAGATAAATATATGTATATGTATATATATATATATACTATAGATGTATAAAAATAAAACAAGGAAAGTATAGTTGGATATCCGAAGTCAGATTCAGGGCCATTCAATCGCACATAGTTAGTCGGCTTCAATATCTATCGCCACGTGAGAGTTCCTACTTTTTATTGGTATACTTTTTCTCTCTCACTACTAATAATATGGAGTGCTTTCCAGGACACCAGGATTTGAAGCTTACGATTGGCGATATGGCGTCAAGATATATGAACATTATTTTCGTTAACAAGCCGTGCAGATGGCTGACTTCGTCGTTGGTGGACTCACGGAACTTTTGAATCAACCGATGTTAGAATTCTTGTAAATAAAGTTAAATCGGTACACTGTTGCACGGCTTAGACACCGCTGGAGATCCCCCACGGCACACTAATAATTAGTTTTAACTGGTATAGAGCTCACCTCAAATCGCCAGTAGATTGTAGTACCAGATCTTTGTAATAGGGCACTAGAAATTTAAACTTATCTCCGTGTCCAACGCCGTGCACTATAAACGACTCCTTGAATAGAGGATTATTGGAACTTGAGTTAGCTATTTTTCTGGAAATGAAATTAACGCGCCTGTTGAATTCGAATCCAGATACAAGCTGTATCTCCTTATAGTACCGCTTCCATATATGTTTGATAAATCCTCCTTGATCAAACAAGAAGAGATTTGTTTCTTTCCGCATCCAGAATTGCCCTTTTTCCTTATCACCCAAGTCATATGACTTCAGCCATTCATGGATCAGCTCGGCCCCTTTCGCATTGTTGCGTACGGCCCAAGAACCGGAGTTTGGCACACAGTTTTGAATTGCACTGACGTTTTGGTCATACGCAATCAATTGATCTATAACAAACTTGTCGTCTGCGCGCGCACATTCTGCATTGTGTTCGTGCTGGTGGTTTGCGGCTAAGAAGGTCTTTCCCTCCAATAACGATGCGACTCGCTCCCTAGGATTGATATCTAAAGTGGCGAACATAGCATCGCAATCTAGTACCATTATAATTTCAGCTTGTGACGCTGGTATACTATTAATTAAGCGTTCAGCTATTTCTACTTTACTCCAGCGCGCGTGCCTCGGCGACGCCGGTGTCTCACGTAGCACCACTGTTTTGAAATGATGCGAGTGTGCCATAAGATTCAGGGACGAGGTGGTGAGCCCGCCGTACCTTTGTGTGGTATTACCAGTGCAGACTGATACCACTAAGAGATCCGGGTTTATACTATCCATGATGGAGCACGCATGGCTTTTTGAGCAATCCAACGCCGTATCGATATTCGAGAGAAAAGTCCCTCGCAGCTTGCTATCTAACAGCTGCTCACTCAAGCTATTGATGTCCACTGTAAACGCGACCAGCGAAATAAAACACACCAGTAGACCCGCAAATAGTGTAGCACGTCTTGTGCATATTGAAATAATCATCATGCGAATTGCTATATAACCATCGTGCTCCATATGTGATTGCTTTTAAAAGAATACAAGAAGTAGACGAATTTAGACTCGAATCATCCAAAGTGTTTTTCCTTCGGCTTGTCCTCCATATTTACCTCTCTTGAAAAAATGTCAAATCTAAAAATGTGACCTTCTTGACGTTTTGATGAGAAGATCAGAAAAAGCCCCTCCTCCTCTGGTTAACTACGCAGCGAGAACTCAGGTCTCAGGGCCTGATTTCTAATGCCCCTTGAAAAGTCAGAGCCTGATTCTAGTGGCCATTGCAAAGTCAGGGACTGACCTTAGTCGCGTGTTTGACTGTTTGTAAAGTCACTAAGGCCTAATTCGGATTCCAGTGGCCCTTCAAAGTCAGAGGGCCAATTCCACTGTTCCAGTGGCCCTTCAAAGTCAGAGGGCCAATTCCACTGTTCCAGTGGCCCTTCAAAGTCAGGGCGTAATACTAATGGCTCTTCAAAGTTCAGGGCCTTCAGCCTTCAGGTGCATATGTGGTGGTCTTTGTTATGAGAGCCTTTTTCTAGTGAGGCTTCACAGTACAGTGCCTGCTCTCTCTCTAGAGAGTAGTAGTAGTAGTGGCTCGTGAAAGTCAGAGCCTGATCAGTGATCATTGAATGCTAGTGGGCTATGTAGTGTTGGCCCTTGAAAATTAGGACCACCATTCGTTCGCGTTTGAGTCCTCAGGTCTCAGGACGCTCAGGGAGTCGCAGATTGATTCTAGACTTGTTGAACCGGATTGGCCTCAAATTTGGTAAATATTTGGCGCGACAATGTGAATCGTGTATTACAAATTTGTTCTCACTATGCTTATATTTATATATTTCTCTCAAAAAACAACAACTTTATATACATATGTTATTTATGAAGTATGTATACGTACGCAGACGTCACAGAGTCACAGATATGAATATAATAAAGGCAACTAGGAATAATTGTTCATAACTTTATAGAGTTAATATTAAAGTTATCATCAGGCTTGTATACATATACATATACATATACATTTACATATACATTTACATACACACACATACACACACACACAAACACACGCACACACGCGTGTACGCGCACACACACTCACACACACACAACACACACACACAAACACACACACACACACATACCACACACACACACACACACACACACACACACACACACACACACACACACACACACACACACACACACACACACACACACAC